TTTCACAGTGCATTGGTCCTAAAATCTATTTCACTTGACTATTTATATTCTGTGGGAAATCAATTCTCTCACCTATTTTGTATTCAGACAAACACAAAGCCTTAACCTCACCCGTTGTGATTACACACAAATTCCATGAAAACATTCTTCATGGTGATATCTACTCTCAGTGAAGGAAACTAAAATCTTTCTCTCCCCAGTTCACCACCACCTCGACTCCTGGGAGGGGCTGGGTGACGCCCCGCGGTCAGTTGGAGATATCCCCCTTTCTCGGGAGACTTTATACGGCTAAGTATATGAGATATTCTGCAGAGGGCAAATTAACATCATCTAATTTCCTTTTTGTAATTTTAATGTTACCAAGATGTGATTTTATTATATCTGGATATGCCATGAGTCACATTTGCTTGCTTTGCAAATATTACGCTTATTCAAACAGTGCCATGTTTTCATTTTCAAGAACTGGAAAAAAATACTCCTACTACAATGTCTCCTGCTTTGGAGAACATTGTATTTAGCTGGAAAAATCTAAGAAAGACTTTGTAGGTATAAGATCATGAGATACTATATATTTAGATGTAAAACTAAACTGAATCTAGACTAAGAGTAGTAAGGATTTCAGCTGCTAACAAAGTTTGTCCTAACCACCTGCTACAGTATATTAAAATAAAGGTCACCCAGCATTTTTAGGCTAATACATACATGCAATTACTCCTGCAAGTAATCATTTACTTAATCTCTCAAAAGTCTGAAAAAGTAAGGAAAAAAAATCCCAAGGTCCAATGCGATGTCTTCAAATGTTCCATTTTGTGTAAACAACAGTATAAAAATCCAAAGACATTGCATCAACAAATGTAGAGGCTAAGAAATACAGACTTTATCCTAGAATGCGAGACATTTACAGGAGGAGGCGGAGGAATTAATACTGTACATTACATAATAAATTAGTGCACCAGAAGCCGGTCATGGCATAAGGACAAGGAACTTAAACTACGCATATACTGTATGATCTGCATTCATACATTAGCGGGCTCTGGATCCACACTTTCTATGTAAACTGGAGGTATCATCAGCTCTCAGTAGCCCCAGCACTCATTCTTATAATCCCAGGAGGAATATAAATTTATCTCAAACCGATTCTCAGTGTAAACTGCCAATATTGTTGCCTTCAGCAAAAAAGAAACTTACAAACAAATAAATAGAATAGAACAGAACAGAATAGAAAAATATCACAGTCTTGAATTGTAATTACTTGGAAAGAATACCCAGATCTCTGGCAAATACACTCTGGCTAACTAAGCAGTGTTCATTACCAGAGGAGAGACATTTAAATCACTATGTACTGAGAACACTAAGCTTTATAATTCTGTGCACATGTATATTTAATGTGCAGCCAGTCCAGTACATTCAGAAAAATTAACTGCCTTGTTGGCACACAAAGATCATCAATGGTCTTTTTTTTCTATATGAATTATATTTCTCTTCATCCTGTACAATGAGGGAAATTCCAAAAAAATGTTATCTGCTTGTCCCCGTGTATATAAAAAAGGGGTCTTTGTACAATAATTGGGCAAGTGGAAGAGGCACAAAGAATGAATGGCTTCAGCGGGTGGGGGAATGGTGGCATTAATGTGTACATGTCTGAGATGAAAACCAGCAGGCTACCGACAAACAAAAGCCATCATACAACTAAAGCCTGTGACTGTCTGAAATATCGCTAAAAGGAATTCCCGGCTGATATGTCATGAAGTGGAGGGTTGTACTGCTATGAATTAAGTCAGATTACAGTTTCCCCCCTTTTAATGTTCCATGCAACAGAGATACAACTGTATGGGGAACAGATGGTCACAGCAGAACACAATAGACCAGTTAAAAACCAGACATAGCTACAGTGACTTCATTTCTAGAGATCTTCATCAACATGAACCCCGGAGGATGTGGAGTGATCTCTCATAAAGGCTGTTAGAGGAGTCAACAGCACGGGGTTAGATCAAGAGGTAAACCAGCCATTCACCACCGATGCTAAGAATTTTACATCACCCCGATATCTGTGTGGGGCAGAGCAAGACATGTGACAAAGACACAAGAAATGTTTAAAGCTTCACCCCTTTCATGCACTTTGATCATCTGTGAATGTGTAGCGCCAAGGCTTTGACCTCCCACAGACCTGATATTAGGTCACAAGTGCAGGCTGTTGAGGAAGGCTTAACAGCTATTCTGTGAATAAAAGCTCAGTCTTCTGCCTCAGCAGTGTACTATAACCTTAGCCATGGTAATTTATTTATTATTATTACCATACAAAGGAAATGCCTAACATACTTTATGATAATTGGATCCAAAACTGTCAAGAAAAGCGACAGAATTAACATCAAAAAAGTGCAATTTACAACTGCTCCTGTTATTGTTGATCAAATTACAACAATGCCAGGAGCTAGACAATGTCCAACAAAAACCATAAAATCACGTCCTCGCCTTTACTTGCCAGCTCACATCATAATGCACGCCATCAGTATAAATATAATACTTTATTCCACTGCAATTGTGCACATGGCTTTACTTTTACATCTGTGCACTCACACAGACACAGACCTAAAGAAGAGGCAATCATTGTCAACTGAAGCTTCATACCCACGGAGGTGCTTGCAGCAGAGATCCATGGACATTCTTGCAGCAGAGCTCCATGGACAAGGCTCAGTGCATGTGTTTGGCCGATCGGTGATATCCAGTACCGCACACTACACCAGGCTCCTGGGCTGCCAGAGGTACCGTATTACCCACACAGTGATTACATTTTGGGGGCTAGCAGAACCATCTAGACCCTGGTCTAAACACAAATCCCTGAGTTCCTAAAAAGATTCTGGGTTTCTGGAAAAGTTACTGTACTGAAAAGTAAGTACACGAAAAGCAGAATCAGTGATAAGGCTGAACATTTATCAGAGTATGCTTGATGTTTTTGCTAATATAAATGGTACATAAAACACAGAGGACTGTCCACCTCGTCAGTGGGGTTCAATTCCAGTGTGTCACCTAACCAAGTTGTTTGTGTGACAAAATGCTGTATAATAAAACTGTGACAGTTTCATAATCGTAAAGGCATATTTATGTGAGTTTCCATGACAACGCAGTCCCAGTACGCTTGCCATGTTTACGGCAGTTTCCATGATGACTAGTCTGTAAAGCTTGCTGGAGGGAAATGGGTTGTATAGGTTGGAGCACAATGAAGACACATAGTGTGATTATGGTGCATTAACTGTGGCCCAAATTTGAGAATGATCATGCTAACAAAGTAAACAAAGGAGTCTTCTTCCCATGAGCGTCCATGCTCTGACTGTCCCCCATACGTGACTGGTCAACAGTGTCTTTGCCGGATCCAACTTTCCACACAGGGCTGTGTCATTTTGCTGCTAGCTGCGGTGAACACAATCCCCCACGGAAATGAACGGAGTGCGCTGCGTTTTTTTCATTCCTTTGAAACTCAGTCTGAACATGGGCTTAGTGGGTACAGGCACACAACAGCAAGTTTTCTCTGTGATGCCTGTATCCAGGACTCCAGGACCACCCCATTTCCTTAATCGGGGTGAGATTGCAAAATCTATAAAATGCCAGGACATAATCTCTTTCATCTGCCCACACCTGGGATCAATTTATCATGGAGGACCCTACAGAGAACTGTTGCTCTGGAAAACACAACCTTCAACTTAAAATTTTAATTGGTCAATACAATATTTAAGATCTTTTTTCGTCTTCTGTATTTGTCAGTTTTATAAGTGAGAAGTTGACTTCTGACTGTGTCACATCTGTGATGAGGAAAATTGGTTGGAAAAGGAAAAGAAAGTCTTTGTTCATGTTACCTTGCGTGCTGCATGAATGTCAAAGAAGGGCTTATTCCGGACACTGAAGGGCTCCTTGGTTTTGTCAATCTGTCCAGTCTTCATCTTTTCCAGCCGGGGAAAAATGATTTCCTTTTCTATGCATAACAGCCGGATGCTGAAGTCACACTGGCCAACAGGCTGTCCCTGAAACACACAAAACAAGCAAACAATTCATCTCTTTATGTACCCTGGGGATGTACAGTAACTCATGTATGACAATGAGGTGCACACTTTGCCACACAGATCAAGACATTGTCCGTTAGCCAAAATAATATCCCCTAGAACAGTCTTTATTTGAAATTAATTGTGCATGTTCTCTTACATTACATTATCAACATACATCTAAAATAAATATCTTTTGGAAAAATATACAAATATGACTGATATTCCAACACTGAAGAACTGCCAATTCACTGCCATGGCAACACTGCTAATCTAACGCGCTGCAAGGCGGAGGATTAACACCTTTGTGAGTCAGAATAAAACAGGCATCTCACAGGTGTAACTCAAAGTTCAGACTGAGTGGATTTTGATAATTAAACATTATGTTTTGTAAAACTGCCAACAATGATTTGGTTCTAGCTTTTAAAATGTGAATATTTGCTATGTGGTGTTCTATTATATTAAAGTGAATATCACTGGGGTTGGATTAAGATACGTCAATGTCCATTTTGAGAAATTGTTTGTGATTCCTGTCATTTTATGGACCAAAAAATAACTTAATTAGTCAAAAAATAAACAGAGGAATCCTGAAATTCACTGCAGCCCTACTAACACTATAAAACCTGAGTATATAAAACTGTATCAGTCTAATTTATACCACATCTACATGGTATAAATAAATAAAATGGCAGAGGCGCGAACGGACACAGCGGCTCGTCTCTCTCCTAGTTGTGTGCTCATAGCCTATGAGGTTGTATCGTTTAGTTTTATCCTAATCACTTTGATTTAGTTTAGTTTACTCTACTTTTATTCTATTTTAGTTTCCTAAATGCTATGGCATTCAATACTAGGTGAGAGAGAAGCGGTTTTCTGTATGTCCTGCACATATAGTGAATGGACAATAAAAATCTTTGATCCTCTGATCCAGACTAGGTCAACAGTAAGCAGCTTCAAACTCTATGGTGAGTCTGTGACAATCAGTTGACCTCTTGAAAACTGCCTCCTGCCTTCGCTGGCCAGCCACACAAAGATACAGTAAACAAAGTGACCGGAGTCATCACCGTCTAAACAGACGGTGCAGCTAAGGCGGAGCAACGGTGCCACCAAACCCACCTAGCAGAGAACTGAGACTGTGGTTAAAAAAAAAAAAAAAAACAAAGAATGAGCTCCTGGTTATTAATAAAGAAGCTTGGAAGAAAATTAGAGCAGCCAAATGACACAGTTTGATTTAATAAACATTGTATGACAATGTTAAAGTGATAATGGAGACAGAGAGGTTGTGATGAAACCATCCTGGCACAGCACAAAAGCCACCACATACTGTATCTCTGTTGCTCAATTAACAAAATGATTAAAAATAATGACTCACAGACATCACTTTGATCAGCACACAAAAAAAAAGAGCTGATGAGTGAGTAGTGAAAATCTTTCAGATGGACATGGACTACACGCGTGACAACAATTTGACATTTAATATCTCTCTCAAGTTATCAGACAGCAAAAGCGGAGAGCAAATTCAGCTGCCAAGCTGCCACGTCTTTACTGCCGAGAGACAGAAAAATAAAGAACGAGAGGCAATCACTTTGTCACCTGGACATGATGAAAAGAGGGGAAAAAACAATTTAACCATGCCTTCCATGTATCTACAACTAATATTCCTTGAAGTTATCACCAAAGCGATGTCTCCCAGTATGTTGTTATGACCAGTCAACAGTATAAAACCCCAAATTATTTGTTTTACTATCACAAAAGACAAGAGAAATAAATAAAACTTTCACATATGAGAAACTGGAGACAGCACATTATACAATTAGATTCATTTTCTCTTGACTAAGCAGTTGTCTGCACTACTTTCACAAATGAATAATTGTTTTTAATCATGCAACTTATTGATCAATATTTCCTCATGTACAGTTTTCACTCTTTTAAGACATTTCGTGATTTAAAGATCAGTTGATTAATCGAGCCTAAGAAAAGTAACTGTCAAATGGGATTAAGGAGCTGATGGTCCAAAACAGACAGTGAATAATGGTGTTCTGTTATGACTCCACTGTGATGCCCATGCTGCTGGATGTGTCAGTACGCAACAACTTGATAACTGAGCAGTATGCCATGACTGTTTCTGTGACTTTGTTTTGTCTCTCTGACTTGTTCAACACAGCCTTAACAACTCTGTAAGGGCAATCCGGCAGCTACAAATAACATCACAGGGACAGAATGAAAGAAATAAAAACCATCCCGCTTGTCTCGTTTTAAAAATTACTTTGTGAACTTGTTTTTCTTTTAGGATGACTACACTAACCACTCTACATTCTCCTGGACCAACAGCTGGTATCATGTCCCACACATTCTGCACCATCTGTCAACTGTGTCATCAGGACAGAACAAGATGTAAGTGTGGATGATTCAAGGCATGTGCTGTCCACGCCTGTTTAACAGGAAAACAGCAGAGAAGAGCATAACAGCAGTGATTCTAAGGGGTTATGTGTCTCGATAGCTCGCCTTTGGTGTGAATACCATGAAACTCAGACTTATGGCTGCCTTTGTTAGTGCTGCCACCTCAAGACACATCAGTCTGTGCAGTACAGCCTCCAAATACAAAACATGCACTGCCTTTCTCAAATATGGAAATCAAATGTAAGAATTTGCTAGGTATCTTTAACAGTAAATGAAATATTTGGGGGGGTTGGATTGTTGGCGGGAAGTAAGTAGTTCACTATTTAAACCTTTTTTTTTATTATTTATTGACATTTTAAAGCCAAACTCGATCAAAAATATATTTGCCAGATTAACTGCTAATGAAAAACAAGTGGAAGTTGGAGCCCTAAAATTCTCTGCCAGTTTTGGATTTAATCAAAACATAAATCCAAAATTTGGCATTTATGGATTTAGAGCAACCTACAGTCAATAACAATAAATAAAAGACACCAGTTCTTTTCAATATATAGTTCTGAGTTATAGCGCTCTAAAGACTCTTTCAATATTATTTTAAACAATCATCCACAGGTGCAACCATTAGATTTTCGGTGTGTTACAAAACACTCTTTATGCGTAGACTGAACTGAGTCCATAAAGAATCCACATTAAATGTTAAACACTGGAGAGCTGCAGAATCAAAAACAATATGAGGTTGAAGTGGCTAAAAGGATGAACCCAAAAAAATATAGCAAAAACAAGGATAGCTTCAGGACTCTCTTTGCTAATATGGGATAAATTACGTTACACAGTGGTAACAAAATCAGCACTGGGACCAGTCAACGAACGCTGAAAGAAAACATGGGGGCTTTTAGTCCTTTTTGCTCTAAATGTGTTTTTATTGGCCCAAGACTGTTAACAACCACATATCCTTCTTACCTGTTTGCATCATAAAGCCACAAGCAATATTGTGAGGCAATGCACATAAAATACACTTTACTCCAAGAAGAGTTTAATCCATCTGTCACCAGTTACTGTTACTGTACCAGACCCTCCAGCTCCTGCAACTTTCCTTCACCATCTCCCACAAGTTACATCAAGAGCTGGGTTCTCTCTCTCTCTGGCTTTGGCTAACAATTTATTTGCGTCTAAAAATATAGACCGGCAGGTCATCGGCCACAATTTATGACGATAGTCTTATCTAGTAATACCCTGAAGCCTACTGTTTCTGCTGCTTTATGAGTCACTTTAATACAGAGTTGGGCTTCTCGGATACAGTTCAAAAACAGTATAAAATGTAGCTTGCACATGGCACAGCACTGTCAGCTCATTTCACCAGGATTTAACGAGTTACTGAATAATTTACAGAAAGAGGGGGAAAACTGTCTAAAATATGAATTAAGATTCGTGAATACCTGAATATATTTTATTATCCTCTTATAATTAATCCCAGTGTTTCCAGTGGATCAAGAGGTTTGGCGTGGGGGCAATGTCCCCTGGAGTCGGGGAGGGGGGTGGGGGGCGCTGCCTGAACGCTTAACTCCTCTGTCCTCATCTTCCATCCCTAATCCATTTTCCATCTCTCTATGAGGAACTGAACAAACACTTAATGATTTGGATTAATGCAGGCCAGTTACTAAGTATTTTTATCGGTGGCTAAATCAAGTCCTCAGCAGTTGAGCCGCTGTCTCTGGTGTGTCACTCAACAGCGTAACCAGTCTGCCAAGTGTGGTGAGCAGCTGTCAGTCATCAAGTCCTGAACAAGCTGGAAGGACAATGAACGAACCAACAGTCTTCACCAGGCCAACCAACCAGGGGCGGATCTAGAAAATTTTGACTGGGTGGCCAGGATGCCCTTAGTCTGAAGGAGTGATACAGCCCAAGGACACTGGTTAGGGTGGGAAACTGTGCAGATTTATAGACTGTACCTGCGAACAAACTTCAAGCAAAAGTAAATGAAGCTGATACCAATAAACCAGTCCATACCACAACAGATAAGGCTCCAGCAGTGAATATTAACAAGCATTCGGCCGTTAATCTGACTGAGCCAGTTATCTTGTATAATTCTGCACCTACAGTGAGATTATTTTAGCAAGATAACTGAGAATGAGGTCAATCAGACTGTCAGGACATAGACAGTGATGTCAAGCTCACACCTCCACAGTGTTATTCTTTCACAAATAAACTTTCTTAAGAATTCTGAAACTTAAGGACACGTACTGTATGTAATTGTTGTTGTGCTTTCAACACATCTTGTCAGTTCCCCCACAGTGGAGGAGCTGACAATGACTGACAAGCAGCAATGATTTTTTGAGAAGACAAAAAAAAAAATAAATCTTTTTTAAATACTCTGCAGCAATAGCAGAGGAAGAACATTTGGTCCCAGGGTAGTAAGGGTCAATCAGTTAGATGGCTGGAGAGGTACTGTACACAACGGCACTCTCACCGTTACAGCACCCTGTAGGATGACTAATAATATCTATGGCTCTGACATGAACTTAGATTTCCCATCAAAATCCACCAAACTAAGTAAACTCTGGCCCTTCACTAACAGCTTAAATTACCCATCGGAGCGAGAAGACACACACTTCTCATTACACTCAAATCAAAAGCATCTCAGTATTGTGCTTTACCCAACTTTCCAAACAGCTAAAGTGTCACGTTAGGCCACGGGCCTGGCGGGTGGTGTGTTCTCCCTCCTGCTGTATTTCCATCCTCAGTCTCGGGCTGAAGCCTCAGTGCCAAGAACCAGCTCACCACAGATAATGGAGCAGGCTAATAATGGCCAGCAAGGATCAATACAACAGCGCTATACTGGCGGCTCGAGGGAGTCATTGGAGCTGCTAACCTCTGCACCGTCTTACAAAGATGCTCCCCTCACCACTGGAGCCTTTATTGAACCGCTTGCTCGTGTGATCCTCTGATCGACGGAAAGAAAGAGGTGACAGACAAACATAATGGCCAAAAATAACCCCTCCCTCTTCATCCCAAGGTATTCATCAGATTTTTATAAGGAAGACAGCAGAGGTACGCTAAGGACAAATTGTATGCTCATTTGTCTCTGTGCCTGCCTGCCTGTCATTAGCGGCATGCGAATCAGTTGAAGGGATGAATTCATTTACAGTTCGAAATAGTGTTAACAATTAACAGCCTTGTAATGTCGTCTTCAGGCTGTCGAGAAAAACGGTCAAGTCAAAATAATTTAACAAAAAAAATCATGCAAATGCACATCTATAAAAGAAGCTTTTATACACACAGATGCACCAGGTCAGTTACTGCTGCCCAACACAGTAATGGACTGATTACAAGGTTCACATCAAGCCAACTCATAGACTGTGACGAAGGAATGTTAAAGGTCTGGATTATATTTTTAACAAGCTCCTATCCTAAGTGAATACAGAAAATAGGCCAAAGTATGTCAGTAAAAGCACATAGCTTATAAAAATTCAGTGTGGGTCAGACGCTGTTAAGGTCAGGCTTTAGTAAAGCCCGCTGTGTGACAGGGTGTGGCGTCAAGCAGAGCTATGCTCTTCCCTCCAGCATGGAAACTGACAACAGTGCTGTCATCCCTGTGCAAATAGTGCAGAGCCTGGATGAACACTGCTCCGCTGCCTGCTACAGCCCTGAAGGAACCCAACCGGGAATTCGATTTTTCAGTTTTGAGGATAAATAAAACCCATTCCATGTCAATGCTTTTCCCTGATGTACAGCCAATACCATCCTCTGGTATATACATTTGAATTGCTGAAAGACTAAGACCATAAAATTACAATTTCCTCCACTGAACCTGGTTAAACAGTAAGTAAAAAAAGAGAGGGCAGAAGGAGCTGCTGATATAGACCACAGTGTTTCCCATGTGCTCTTTGTTTATTCCATCTGACACTGAAGTGGCAGTGATGGGTCAAAGAAAAGCTGTTCTCAAATGGCCTGGGCTACTCACATTGAATTTGATGATGTCGTATATCAAATAGCGGGGGACTGGCTGACCATTCACCTTGTCGATGATCATCTCCTGCAGATATAAAGACAAAAAGGCAGGTCAGGAGAGGGAGTGAGAGACACAGTTACTGAGATAAAGATAGATATATGTTTTAGTGATGAAGATGTACTATTCGTTTTTCATAGCAAGTTTAAAATGGTGCCTCTGCATATAGTTATGCAAGATGGGACACTATGGGATGAACACTCTCAAAAGGATGCGTGTTCAGAGAGGGAGGTGCTGCAGGTCATCAAAAGACTAGTAAGCAGTTGGGGAGGTGTGTGTCTGTGGCTGGGGTCTGAAATAGCACTGCACATCCAATATGCAAGACTAAAGATGAGTCAGGTGCGGTTGTGATGCAGGAACAGTCAGCAGACACAGAATTAGCTTGCAGAGAACAGCCGAGTGACAGCAGAGACACAAACGTCACTGCTGCAGTATTGTAAGTGAAAGGAGATGTTTCACCAGGTAGAAAACTATGTGTGAAGCACTAAAGAACTACTTTTTATTATCTTTCCCCAATATGGTAAGTACCTGTGCTACTGCTGTAGCAAGTAAGAACTCAGCCATTACACAAAAACTGAACTTAGCAGACTGATACACACACATCATTCAGACCAAATGAACATGGCAGAGTGACGAGAATATGCAAAAATACTTTTTGTGTTACTTAAGGTTAACAATCAAAAAGAACACATTCTGAATTATTTGAGTCCAGCAGTGCTGCAGCCTTCTTTTGGACAAGTTAGAATTTAAATAGTCCACCAACTCAAGCTGTTTTATTAAAGTTGCTTTTATCCACGTTCCAGGGATGCTGCTGCTGCAGTGCTTCAGCCAGAGGAGCTTATCGTAAGTACTGTGGTTGCCGGCATTCC